ATTGAATTTAAGTTACGAACGTTTTAATCTTAGTTGATCCTCCCAACAACGTTTGATAACTGATAATTTGAAATTTCGATTTAGTAAACTTTGTGAAATAGGCAAATCGAGTCGAGCAGCAACAAATCGTGACAGTGTGTTCTCATCAGGAATCATTAGTTGAGAATTGTTTGTTCGATGATTGTTCGAAAAATTTTCATTTCTCTCTGTTTCATTTGTTTCAGCACATTCTATAAAATAAATCAATAAATCCTTTTTTTTAACTTGTATCATTTCTTCAATAGAACAACCGACAAACCTTGACGAATTCGTTTAGATTCTTGAACTTTTCGATATAGTTCATCATCACATAATTGTTTAGCATAGGCACAAAGTGGAAACCAACGTACATGTTCAATCAATGGATTATCTTTGGGACCCCAATTCTGAAGTGATCCATTACAATAAAAACAGGTAACAATTGTTTTTGAGCCAGTATAAAAAAATCCTGCTCGAACAAGATCATCAACAGAAGGTAAGTCTTCTTGAGGCCAAGAATTAAATGATGATAGACGTTTCGAAATTTCAACATAGGCTCGATGAAATGCTGATGCTTGAGCTATTTCATTAAATCGCAATACATTAGATGTTAATGCTCGATTATTCGAATTATCATTAAGAATTGATGCAGTTGATGTCTGACGAGTTTTTAAAATAAATAAAACATATGGACATAGAGATGAAAGAGTTTGATGTATATTATCTGGATCATCAGTATGTGGTGTCCATTGTTGACAAATTAAATTACAATACAAACAAATGACACGATCACTAACATTACAATAAAAAAATCCAGCCGAAATCATTTGTGTTCGAGATAGTACTTTCTGATGAGGCCAATGTGAAAATGTTCGACAACGAACTTCTTTCATTATCTCTACTTCTGTCAGGCAATGGTCGATCTTTTGATCGATTTTTTTATGTTTCGATAATTTTTCTTGATTATGTAATAATTCAAAGTTTTGGTTTTCTGTTATTGAACCATCTGAAGAAGAAAATTTCATTTGATTCTTTGATACAATCGATTGAACGAATGAACAATTCGGACTTTGTTGAACATGAACAGTAAATGGGTTCATGTGTGCTGTCCATTCAGTTACTTTTAGACCGCATGTGAGACAATGAGCAGTATTATCAATGCCGGTGGATGTGAAACCAGCCGCATTGATAAGAATGGATGAGTGAACACCTTGCTTCTTCAACTGTTTACAAACATCAACTACACGGCGACAGATTTCATTTTTCCAAGCAGAGCTTCGTTTTTTCTCATCGATACATTTTGATAAATCAATA